AAGTGATGAGGGTAACTGCTTCATAAGGGGCAGCAGAGACTTACTTATGCCTTTACACCACTTATTGAACCCAAATTTTTTTACATGTAAGAGAAAGAGAGAGAGACCTTTCTACATTTACTAGGTAGTTCTCAAAGTTGACTTTTATGGTTGTACAAGTACCATCTAACTGGATTAATCCTTTACCCTCTCCTGGATAACTCTAGTGGTAATCATTACCAAAACACAAAATTTTATTTGCAAAATGTGTGATTTTGCAGTCCCCCTTCTGTATCCTTTTTGTTCTCTCTGAGATATATACACCAACCTCATCTAGTTTCAGGTAGCCCACAAGTCATCTGAAGCCTTCAGTCCATTCACCATATGTCCAATACATAGGATATTCTAACTGGAAACATAAAATAAGATTTAGGACTTGGCAAGTTTTAAATGATATTTTAGGCAAAGAGCTTTTATCATAATATGACTAATACTCTGAGTCAAGTCAGAGTCACTTGACTCTGATGATGACTTCTGCTAAGGTTGTGGAAATACCAGACACAAACCACTGACAACAGCTCTTCTTGGGACTACCCTCACCCAGACAATCAAATAATATGATCAAATGTTACCCATGGTTTCAAACCCATTACTGTATAAAACTATGATAACTGAAAGGGAAACAGCTCTTAAGAAGATACCCATTAGACTTGTGATTTAAACCTTTAAGCCCTGATATTAGCATGCATATTCTCAATACTGTTCTCTACAATTTCCTAAGATACTGACAAGGAGAATTTGTGTAGCAATCCAGAGGTTCTTTAGTTGCTGATTATTTCTTTTATTCTTGTGACTTAATGTGTAATTCACAGAAGATATTAACCCTTCAACTCCCAGATCAAATTTGTAATTCTCCTTACTGTCAACCATACAATTCTTATAATTTTAGTTCAGAGGATTTAGTATTGCATCACCTTATTATCCCCCAATTTATTTTTTCTCATCACTTATCTGGTTGATGTTGTTCTGATATTGTAAGGAGAAATTCTGTCTTAGTCATTCAAGGGAGTTAAAGGGTTAAAGAGATGTGAGGAAAAACTAGGCACTACTGTCTCTCAGGGGATGAAAAAATTATTACAGGTTTGTCCAACATTAGGTTAAAGAGGAAAAATATTGCTAATTTAAGTATAGTGTATAGTGTACTCAATACAGGATAACTACTTTCTTTGAAGTAAAATGGTCATAGTAGATGCCCATTGTGCAATACTCATGTAATCTGTATCAAAATCCTCATGAGAGTTATCAAAAACAAAAGTACTAGCAATCCTCTGTTGTCATTAAGTGTTTTTTAGTAGAACTGATGAGAGATTTAAGAAACTGGGAGGGTGCCTATTTTTTCTTTTCATCATAAAACACATATAAAACACAATTCATCTATTTGCCATGACAAAGGATAACCCCTTAAAACATCAGCTTTAAAACCTCTTTACAGTGGCCAATTTTATTTTCATTATCAAATCAGTTAGTAAAACCAGATTATCTTTTTACACCTCCTACTGACACAGCACCACAGTTTCTTGAAAATTTAACCCTTATTTCATTTGCCTATTGTATTTATTCTAAGGCAGTGCTTATTTGAGGGGAAGTGTTAATAGTGAATGATTTATTTTAATTATGAAACTTACAGATATCACCCTGTAACCAAGACTTAAGAGAGTAAGAATTTGCAGGGAATAGACAAACAAGGGGACACCATACATGACTAGAGCCTGTGTCATATATCAACCACTCTTTTTCATCATCATTATCAACAACAATCTGTAAATGAAAAAAACTATACTGCAAATCAAATTTATTATTAGCAGTGCAGAATAATGAAGAGTGGTTCCCTTGAACTTTTGATTTCTCAAAGAAGAACCATACATGTATTCACACAACTGCAGATTGACCATGAAAATTGGGTGCTATGCCTGAGAAGTTGTTGTATGGATTCACTTGAATGTTCAGAATTGAGAAAAGTTTAAAAAAAAACAAACAAACAAACAAAAAAAAAAACAGCCATCAATTTTAATTGGAAATAAATTAATTTGATTTCTTCTCTTGTAAGGGAAGATACCCAAATTTACTTCAACCCACAACATTAATGAAATAAATGGGAGATTGGAAGGTTTGTTCTGTACAAAGTAGACAAAAAAAAAACCAAGAGAGAAGACATCTACATTGGATGAAGAAAGTCAAGACTGAGAACCTACAGAGAGGACATTTCCCATTACTAATGGAAGGTTTGATAGGGAAGATTAGAAAATTGATTTTTTTTAAGTTGAAGAAGACATCCCTTGTACAATTAACTCTTTAACTCTTAAGATCTGACTGTCAATTCTACCCTCTAGCTACAACACATTTCCTTGTAAAATTGGTTGCAAAAATTTGGTGTTCAATCAAGGTAATAAATTGTACCTGATGAGTTAGAGTATTCTCACTACCTGTTTGCTGTATAATGTATGGATACTATAGGGAGAAGTTACATGGTAATCACTTCTGGGAGTTAAAGGGTTAAATTAAGTAAGATGTACCTTGCACAAGTAGGGAGTAGTAATCTATGCAAAATAATAAGCCAACTGAAGTAGTCTATGATGCAAGTAATTGTTTGGTTCTGCTCTATACAGTGAACAATTTATTATACGGTCAACGAGAAGAGATTCAGAAAATTTTTACAAGTGGGAGAAAATATTCACAATGTGGAAAGAAAAGTTCATCCATTGAAGAAAAAAACTTGTCTTGAGCAATCAATGCATGTGAGACCTCGAGTAATCAAAGTTGGACCGATCATGCTGGCGCGAGCATTGCACCAGAAATGTGCAAGATCCAATAACAGATTAATAACGCATATTTGAATCGTTGAAACGTTACATTTTGAATTTCAATATTCTGAGAAATAAACTTCGTGAAAATAGTATGGATGTGTACAGCTTTTTTTTTACTTACTACGAAAGCTTATGTAGCCACCATCTTGATGAGAGCGACTTGATTCCAGAGCTCCTGAGTGCTTTTTTTTTTAGTTTTTTTTTTTTTTGGGTGAAGAAGCGAGTGATACAATCGAATTTGTCCAATCTAAGGCTTAAGGAGTAATTCCGTACAAAACTCCTTCATGGATTCTTAGTAAATGAAGTTCCAGAGGCACCTGAGAGACTCACCGTGTTGACTATGGACTGGGACTAATGAAAATGAAAGTTCACTAAAATCGTACGAAAGAACTTTTTTTTTTTTTTTGAGGACAATTCTTAGTCTACCGTTTAAAAGCTGCGTGTTCTTTACCTAAATAAAAATAGAGAAGCAGGAAAACAAAATAACAAGCAAGGTAAATTTCCAAGTCCGTGTACAGATCACGATACAACTTTAGGAAGCTTACATGACATATATATCGAAATCGCTACATCTGTATTTGTTGGCTATATCCGGCTTTGCTGAACTCAAAGCTTCGAGGTAAGTGAGGTTTTACCAACTCTAGCATTGTACTTGTCGTGGATAGAGCGTTGCTAAAACTTTGAAAAATTTCTAAAAACTCAGCCTGATGTAGTATTGAACCTTTAATTCTTATAGTGGTAAGATTTGAGGCAGAGCGGAGTAAGCCTATCAAGTACCCAAGAGTGACAACCCTAAACGTTAATTAGACACTGGACGCTCGCAACATTCGTTTAAATAAACACAGAGCGCCGAGCTAATGCAAAACTCGCAGATCGGTTGAAATCGTGACGTGTTCATCTATTTAAAAACGTATCTGATCGTGTAAATTGCAATTAGTAAATATTTTTCGACTGGCGGACACGGAGTTATTAAAAAACCTGTCCGGCTGCCAGACATCTAGCCACAGAGTCAATTAAAATGAATTATGTATCCTCAGGAAGGCAAGGTATTTAGCCAGATATAGTTTGCTATACGTAAAGTTCCACGAAGGTTACTCACTAGACTCGACTTTAGGTCCGTTTCAAATGTTGATCCCCTGGTTGCAAACTTTCCTGCGTAAATCTGTTCGTATTGAGTTAAATTATGCGTCACCGAGTTGATCAACACTTGTGCATTGGTAGATGTTGCAACTAATCAAATGGAAGGCATAGCTTTTATGTAAAATGATGTTCATGCATGAGAAGAAAATATGACGCTTAAGTGTTATCATCGAGTCAGACTTTAACACGAATACGCGAAACCATTCGCCTACATCATGAGACCCTGCAGTGAACTAGATAGTTCTACCTTTTTTATATGCTTGTACTTAATAGTGCTAAACTTTTCGTAATTTTTTTTCGATCAAAAGGCAGTGACAAGAAATACTGATAAACTGATATTAAAGCATCGATTTTCATGGATTTGAACCATGCTAGCAACAAAGCAAATCAGCGACGAAGGATCATTTTCTGATTTAATTTCATGCATGACTTGAACTTTCTCGAGCTTTCTTAGTCGACTTTGCATATAACATGTTCGGTTTTCCGTAAAACTACATAAGAGGGTTTCTCTTGTGTAGTAAAGCTAGAAATGGATAACTCGCTAAAATGGCTTCTTTTTAACACAGTAAGCGGTCAGATAACAAACTATGCTCAGTGGAAGTAAGGCGAGATATTTTTATTGAGAATTTGGCTGTATTTTTTTATTCCTAAGAGCGGTCGCAAATATTCCCATTCAAACTCTTATAATTTCGCCATGACTCTTATTTCGCAAGATGATCATCTCATAGCTGGAGCTTGGGCCGCCTGTGGGCTTTTAAGACTGAAAAATTCAGACAATTAGGAATGATTTGGTTTCCATAACCTTGGACTCTTCATTACTGTCTATCGCTTTGGATACAACTGATTTGGTAAAGATAATTCTTAACCCAAAAATGATTAATGTTCTAGTAAATTGCTTTTAAAAATAATTAAATGTCATATTTGCCTTAATATGGATTCCTTAGCTTCATTCAATTAATTTATATTCGCTTTTGATAGATTAATTGCTGAACAGTGAATGAGTGAAACAAAACACTTATGGAGAACGTAGAAAAGCTACTCCAGGCTCTTTTTATCGGCATCTCTCTCGCGTCGGTTTTACTACAAACATGTCGATACAGAAAGGCTATCGAGTTGTTTACTGAATGCTTGGAGTTTCTGAATAAGCACGCTTCGAGTTTGGAAGCCGAAACATTAAAACGCCTCTCAGCACTAGTCTACTGCAGATTATCTCAGACTTATTTCCATATCGGAGACTCCAAGAATTGGTTTGAAAACAGAGAAAAGGCAAGCGCTCTGTATCCCCAGATGGGTGACGGGGAAAGTTCAGCTGAATGTTTCGCCAAACCTCGTGATGAGCACGTGCCTAAGACCTATGACTCTCCAGATAATGAGGAGGACCAAGAAATTAATGAAGATCCATTATCAGCCGGGAATTATAGAAACAAAATTAAGGAAGCAGGTGAACTTGACAGGCTCAGTCACTTAGCTCCATCTCGTTTCGAGTACTCCGAACCCAGACGCCTTTCAGAGAGATTAGCTGAACTGTGTGGTGAGCTTGGGGACAGGGAGAAGGAGAAAACTGCATTTTTTAATCTCGGTGAGCTACATAAGTCACTTGAGGAATATGATCAGGCACAAACATACTTTGAAAAGGCTTTGATTATAGCGGAGGAAGATGGGGACATCTACAGGCAAGGGGTGGCCATTGGTAAACTTGGGACTTTATGTAACTTTCGCGGTGACTATATTAAAGCAAAATGCTTGCATAAGAGGGCGCTCGAAATAAGTGTGAAAATCGGTGACAAGAAAGGAGAAATCATTGATTGCAGAGCCCTCTCTGGTGTTCTGCTCAATCTTGGTGAATTCAAAGAGGCTCTAGACTGTTGCCGAAAGGCACTCAATCTCAGTGAAGAAATTGGTGACAGAAACGAAGAGGCCTCAGCATACAGTGATCTAGGTGATGTTCATAGAAAGTTGAAAGACTTTGAAATGGCAGAGCACTGCTACAAGAGAGCGATAGAAATATATCAAGAAACTGGTGACTTGGAAAGTGAAGAAAGTGAATACAGTCGACTCGGAGATCTTTACCGTTTTCTATGTAAGTATGACCTTGCACTTAAAAGCCATGAACGAAGTCTTATCTTAACGAAGCAAATGGGTAATAAAAGGGGAGAAGATACGAAATACTGCAATCTTGGAGCTGTTTATAAAGATCTCGGAGATTACCTCATGGCTAAGGAATGCTGCGAACAGGCGCTTGCCATCAGCACAGAAGAAAATCACATAAGGGGGCAAGCCATTGACTACGGCAATCTAGGAACTATCCACCTGCATTTCGGTGAATACAAAACGGCTTACGAACTCCACCAAAAAGCACTAGAGATGAAAATTAAAATTGATTTCAAAGAAGGAATGCCTGCAGATTACCTTCATCTTGGTCATTGCTGTAAGCATCTTGGTGAGTATGCAAAAGCGAAGGAGTTTTGGCGTTTAGGACTTGATATCGCTAGGACTGTTGGCGACAGTCTGAATGAATCAAATATAATCGCTAGTTTGGCAGATGTGGAGCACACAATTGGCGAGTATGAAAGCGCAAAGGCCTATTATGAACAGGCGCTTCAAATCAGCCGAGAGGCTAGTGATCTCAAGCAACAGGCATCTCTGACCTGCAACCGAGGGGGACTACTTGCTCAGTCTCAAGGTGACGCAGATAAAGCCAAGGCAGATCTTGAAAGATCCTTACAAACACTGAAACGAATTGGAGATAAATATGGAGAGAGCACTGCTTTGGCAAACCTTGGAATTCTTTATACTTCACTAGGTAAAAATCGCAAGGCGATCGAATACAACGAACAGGCTCTTGACATTGCAAAGGAAATTATTGACAAAAATGGGGAAATGGTCATCAACCACAACTTGGGACAGCTTTACATGTGTCAAAAAGAGTTTAAGAAAGCATCCGATTGTTTTAGTACTGCACTTTCAATCTCTCGAACGTCAAAAGACTTAATAGGAGAAAGCCGTGCCTTTTGCAATATAGCAATGCTGTCTTTGGCAAGAAACGATATACCAAAAGCTTTCTCGGCACTCTCAGCAAGCATAAAGCTGCTTGAAAAAGCGTCGGTTATACATGGAGAAAGAGAATCTTTTCAGATTAGCTTTGCACACCAGCACAATGATCCTTATCGATTAATGGTTGTTGTCCTGCTTAAACTAGGAAATATTGATCAAGCTTTGTCCGTGTCGGAGCTTGGACGTGCAAGATCATTGGCTCAGCGAATGGAGACTCAATATTCCGCGAAACCTTTACCTGGTTTTGATCCTTTTCAATGGATAGATCATAAAAACGTTGTCCGGAAACGATCCTACACATGCCTGTCATTTTGTTTTTATGCCGGATATGTTTTTTACTGGATTTTAAAGGGTAACATGAAGACAACTTGCAAAGAGATGTCAGATAGTCAGCCTCAACACGACTCCTTTCAAGACAAGTTGAAGGACCTGGCGTATAAGTGCCACAGAGAGTTTTCACTTTTGCCAGGAGAACGATGCGAAGATCGCTATTTGGTCCTTGATGATAAACATTCTGAGGCTAGATCGCCAACCAAATCTGAAGGAAGCCCGGAGCCTCATCAAAGTCTCAACACTTGCAAAGTCGAGGAGAAGAATGAAGGCGGATCAGAAGAAGAACCGCCCCTCAAAGTGTTGTATAAAGTCACCATAGCTCCTGTGGCTGATCTTCTGGAAGGATCTGATGAGATAGTTGTTGTCCCTGATCGTTCACTATACATAGTTCCATTTTCTGCATTGATGAACGAGAAAGGAGAATTTGTGGCAGAAAAGTTCAGGATTCGGTATACTCCATCATTGACGACTCTCAAGCTGATCCAAGACAGTCCTGTAGATTATCACAGTGAAAGTGGTGTTCTCCTAGTTGGCGATCCTGATGTTGGTACTGTCACGCACCAGGGACGTGAATTGACATTTGACCCATTACCATGTGCTAGAAAAGAAGTTGAGATGATTGGAAGTATTCTTAACGTTCAACCCTTAACTGGTAAAGAAGCTGCCAAGGAAGCGGTACTACAGAAGATACACTCTGTAAGTCTCATTCACATTGCTGCACATGGTGAAGAAGAGAGAGGTAATATTGCATTAGCTCCATCCAACCGTGAGAGGGATGACTTTCTGTTGACAATGGCCGACATCTCAGCAGTCAGATTGCGAGCCAAACTGGTGGTGCTCAGTTGCTGTCACAGTGGTAAAGGAAACATCAAAGCTGAGGGAGTTGTTGGCATAGCTCGAGCCTTCTTAGGATCTGGCGCTCGTTCGGTGTTGGCGTCTCTCTGGGCTGTGGACGACGAAGCAACAATGGAGTTCATGAAGCAATTTTACCAGCACTTAGTGAATGGAAAGAGTGCGAGTGAATCTCTTCATGAAAGTATGAAATGGATGAGAGAGAACCCAGACTACTCGGAAGTGAGAAAATGGGCACCATTCGTGTTGATTGGAGATGATGTGACACTCCAATTCGCCAAGTGAATGTAAGTTCCGGGATGTAAATACGATGCTGTGATACAAAATTAAGTGAAAAATATAATAACGCAATTTAGAAGCATGTCTGGCACACTGCAACATGTGACGAAGCAAGCGTGTTTTTCAGTGACGGAATCAGCTTACAATTTGAGAGGTGAGAGGTGAGAGAGAATTCTTCATAACTGGGGGAGAAAGTACCAGGTGTCTCAACAAAGTTCAACTAATACCTTTATTTCATTAGACTTTTAATTTTGAAGTGTTTAATCATTATGAGTTTTACTACACGTGTCCTTCATTTGAGAAAATCTCAGTAGTATGCTCAGAGATACGAGGACGGAGACAGCTTCAAAGAAAATGCACTTTGAGTTGAAAAAGAAGACGAATAATAAATTAATTTATTACTTAAACTGTGGTATTATTCAAGGATTTCCAGCCCTGAGAAAAGGCGTAGCAACACACGTCAAAAAAATTACAATAGTTTTACTTTTTCGCCAATCATCTGTTGACACGTCACTCGCCTTTAGCGGAGCGGATTATGGCTGCTAAAACACTGAAAAATCTGTATCGCTTATAGACAATGACGTTCAAAGTTTCCCGAAAGGGGAAAGTTAAATAATCAGTGGCTTTGGTGGTGGCATTTCTCGCGGCTGAAAACGAAACTCGACAACTGGAAGATTTTGTCGCTGAGGAATAAGTCATTAACTGACAATTTTGTAAATTGAATATTAGTTTGACTGTTTGTTTTTTTAATGATTCACGGAATTTTTCTTATCTTGAGCCTTATCGCCAACGCATTTTACAATTTCTCGGAGATTTTGGATTCCATTTTTTCTATTCTTTAATTAAGTCGACTTTCTTGTCCGTAAAGGGCTATTCTGGTTATGCAGTAAACAAATTAATACATGGGCATGCGTAGAGATAAAATTTCTCTTCGAGTGTTTAACTCAACAACTTACAAGTGAGTGCATGCAGCTCACTCGTGAGCTATCGAGTCGAACACTTGAACAGAAATTCCATATCTACGCGAGCCCATGTATGATTCTTTACATAACATTGTAAATAGGTGATTGTGAATTAAAATACTTATTTGAAAAGCTTAGTTTCTTTAAAATGCGACTGTCATGATTAATAAACCTTGTGTGTCAAACAAAAAAAAGAACTTCAAAAGTATTTCATTGTTCATCTTAAAACACTAAAAATTAATAATTGTGATGAAATGAAAACCATAGGCTTAAATTGTAATCCGAGTTAATCATCCCAATCCTTAACAATCCTGTCGCTCCTTAATCTATTCTTAGCTTTAATCCCAAGAAGTCACTCCTTTAATCTTCTACAGGGACACAAACAAAAAATTTTCATTTACTCTCAGGGTATCCTACCATGACATCGGGGTTGATGTATTCACTGACATACTGTAACAATCGTGAATACCTTAGGAGAGAGGGAAATTAACTTTAAAAGGTAATCAGATATTTCATCGAAATGTTATGGGTCAGCGTAAGATTTCATTGGTATCATTTGATCTCAAATGCGATGGCTTCAGTTCCTCTGATGTCTAAAATCTTAATCCTTTCATCCTAATGAGTGATAAGCATGCTATTTCTCCTTACTCTAGCACTGCTGAATCATACAGTAAGGTTACGAGAACAGAAGAAATGATTACCAACTTAAGAAGCTCTCGATTGTCAGAAAAATTCTCCTTTTCAGCAACTTGGGAAATGTTTAGAAAACAGTATGGAGAATATACATACTGATGTTAGGGTGAAACGAGAATAAAACCAATACGTCAAGCAGGAAATTAAAAGAGGCTGTGTTGAACTAAGCCTTAACTGATTACATAGTTGGTCCTTTCTTGATTATCAAAATTAGGAAAAGGAACTGAAACTTTCTTAGACGTTGTGACACGAGGAAAAATATATTTTCATTTCTACTGAAGATTTTCAATGGATGATGACACCAGGCAACCCGACCCACTCCCCCTTTATCCTCGAACATGAAATATGATGGCGGCGAATTCAAGAAATGCTTGAAGATTCAGTAGAAAATATGGAGGTAGGATGGATACAACAGTGATAGTTCGCCTTTGCATCGACAGGCTCAACGAGATTTATTTCCTCTAACACAATGGAAAAATAATGGTGTTTGGGTCAGAGATATTTTGATAAGCGTGAATTAAGACGACCTCAAGGATACTTTTTCTTTCTTTTAACGTTTTAGTTAGTTGTGTAGGAATTTTATAATTTAGATGAACCTTATAAATTTTTGACACAACACCACAGAGAACATAAGCTCAGAATTTTCCTCTTCATAGGGTGTTGTCTAAAATTTATAACTTTTCATGCAGCAGATTTTATCTTCTGATTTTTATCATGCTGAGGGTTGTTTCTGGTTCGCAAGAACTAATGCTCTCGAGGGTTAAGGCATAACCGAGCATAATTAAACGAAAACTCTTTCTATATTCTATGTTCTCTAAGCCGCTAATTTATGTTAACTCTTAAACCGTTAAGAATGACAAGCATCTCATCTCTCCCTACAGTATCGCCCCTAAGTCGAACATTAAGGTCATGAGAATAAAGGAAATGATCACCAACTAAAGAAGTTCTAGATTGTTAAACAAATTCTCCTTGTCAGCACCTAAGAGAATGTAAAGAGAACAGTATGAAGAATACAGCTATTTCAATTTACGTTGTCGGATAAAAGCCTCAAGCCTACAAGACAAGACCGAAGGGGAATATGGGATCTTAATCTGTTCTTGTTGCTCTTTTTTAAGACGCGCAAGGCAATACTAATTGTATTTTCAGCCTCCATGTCCATCTCGCGCCGACAACCCCGAAAGCCTAAAATTAATTCTAATCTACCCATACCGCCTTTCGGTCTTGTCCCGTACCCTTGAAGCTTTGATCCGACAACGTAAATTGAAATAGCTGTATACATTTATATAATAAGCTCAGTTATGCACGCATTCTGATTGGTTCTCACTTATGATCTATTGGAGGACAAACGTATAGATATCGTCATCATTAAAACTTTTTTCCGTATATTTTAATTCTTTATTATATAATACAAATAGATTCCAAGTTGCAGTGCGTCTGTTCAGTAATAGATCACAGAGGACGTCAAAATGTGGTAAGAACATAAGTGACAGTGGGCTCGTGTGCCACTTTTTTGTTCTTGCCACATTTTGACGTCATCTGTGACCTATTACTGAACAGACGCACGGCAACTTGGAATTTATTTGTTAAACTGATGTTATAGTTTGAAAAGGTGCAATCAGTCAGACGAAAAACCCCAGATTTTGAAAACGTGACTTCGTGGCCCGGTGACAGGATATGACGAACGCTTCATTGAAATATTTGCGACAGTTTGAAGTAGCAATTTTAAACTTTTCTTTTATTCAGTTCAACAACCACTCATGTTAACATAGTTTAATTCAAGGAGGGAATTCGAGATACTTGAACAGACCTATCACCCATGTTCAATGGCTCAATGTTATCAGGAAATGCGCAAAACCCACTGAGATTTACCAGACGAGGAGAAGAAACTTCTCACCTAGGTGGTTCAAAGCGAAAAAAATGACGAGATATTTACCTATGCAAGATAGTCATCTTATGGGGCTGGTCTTGAATAAATATTTAAAACAACGCCGTCGCACTAAGATCAGGGAGGAAATTTATTTTCATATTGATTTCCTTACAACTATCATTAAGTGAGAAGCACTGAGTTTTTTTAAAAGTATCAAAAAAACTTGATTGATGTCTGTTTTAGGGAGGTAAATTCAAAGTCACACAAAGACGATTGTAATATTTCATTCTCTTTCGGGAGCTCCTTCAATTTATACTAGAAACTTGAAAATACGACTATTTTCTTAAGACGTTTTTTTATTGAGTGCGGATTACTGTGTTTTTTCTACATGCCTTTGCTTGCCACGTATATAAAACTTATTGTTCTTGTCCAACATCTTTAACACCATAAACAATGAGAGGTGTAGTAAACCCATTCAGAATTAGTAAAGAAATGACGCAAAGAAGCTTGTTGAACCCAAGCCATATTGCCAATTGTGTAACTGGCAATATTAGAGACATACCTTGAATTGTTTTCTTTATAAATAACTAAATCTGCTGCCAAAGAGTGAAATATAACTCGACTAAGTCATAGAGATCAAAGTGTATGTGGCGATAACTGAGGTACGTATTGATATTTTCAATAACAAAATGGAAATTTGTCCTTTCAGTCGCTCGCCAATGAAGCGGTGTGTGTAATTAGCACCAATCAACTTTTGTGTCTAAATTCAACTGACTCGTATGCATTCATACGTTTTTATCCACGGTTCAAGAACTTTGCTTTCATGACACACGTGAACTCGATATAAGCCACCTCGAGGGTAAGATTACGGAATTCGGAAACATTCAACATTTTATAAAGTTCACATTTAAATTCTGTCGTCAGCTAACCACTTCATTTGTAATTACATAGCTCAGAGTAGCCTTTGTTGAATTATAGGAACATTTAGAGAGCAAACCTCGAGAGTTAAGACTATGGCTTCGAATGGCAGCGATGTCGTAAACACAGCGCTGAACGGCGAGGGTAGTGATGTAACAGGAGAACTAGAGAAATTACGCAACGGAGGTAAGTTTCATGCATTCGAAACTCCTTCTTAATGACGCGGGGATAGTAATAAATCAAAAAGTATTCTGACTTTTGATTTCCCATTGTAGCTTTTCTGGCCAAATTAAAACGACTTACGCAAATGCACGATTGTGCAGTAGACAGTCAAATATTTGTTGCAACTTATTAGAATCCATAGATACTGACGGCTATTGCGGGGCTGTTCTGACGGCGCCACAGTTTGAGGTGACAACAAATCAGTAAACCATAACCTTAGAATTCACTACATGATCGATGACTGATTATTTATTTAAATATTTTCCATTTGCGTGTTTGATACTTTGTCGATTTGACAAACTTGAGTGAATCTCACGAACATAGTGCCTCGTCTCTCTATTGTTTATCATTCATCTCTCAACCACCCATTCACTGACCTGCAGCGATCGAAATTCAGTTTGACCTTCTCCAGCATTTGATCAGTATTTGCTTATAAAGGTTACACGTATCTTTGCTTTATTACTTGTAAAGATATTTGCATAGCTCTATTTTGTCATTCACGCACGCACGTCTTGTCCTCCGCGTGTTCCCCACGAACACGCGATCGCCCTGCGTGTTCGCCCGCGTAACTGGTGGATTTTCACATAAAAATCGCGTACATTTGTCTTAATTTGTTGGAAGAAACTAAAAAAATATGGTTTTTTCGCTTCATTTTCGTGGCGGAGCTTCTATTTAATTGTCAAATTTTAGGATTGAATGCCGAACACGGATCAAACTGTGGAATTAGCGACACGAACAACAAGACTTTTACACCTCTACCACGCGCGAGCAACTTTTTTTATCTCTCCTATTACTTCTGTTATCATCATGATTATTATCATGATTATTATTATAACTGCCATCATAAAATAACAATAATTATCATTATCTTATGATTATCATTATTGATATTCATATTTTGACAGTCATTCATTTATCACTTCACGAGTCATTTGTTACGAACCAAAGCGTTGACTAGCTCCCAGTTGGCTGGTTAGCTCAGTTGGAAGAACACTGCACCGGTATCGCTCAGTTCAGGGGTTCAACTCCCGTACATGCCTGAATTTTTTCAGGCTTAACTTTTGCTACTGCTTAAGCAGTACTCATAGCAGTAATGATCACTCTCATCTTCTTTATTTTTCTTATCGAAGAACTGAAATAACATCGCGTGCGATATCAATGTTACCTTCAGTGTAGTAGGCTACAATATCACACCTACAATTAATATCTATACTACAATATTTTCACAATTGGCTGATACGATACCTACATGTTTTAAAACTTGTTTTTGCAATTTTAACGTAATTTCTTCCATTAAACCTGTGGTTAGGTTGAGGCTATTCGATATGAATACTTACAGTACAGAACTGACACACTCATTACAATTACCGAGCCAAAGCTATCTTTTGCATGCATTCAGCGTCAACTTTTTTCCCTTTTTTTATGAAAAAATGTGTTTCCAAATAATTTATTGTCAAGTTAGCGCAAGTGGCTGGAATGATACCTACGCGATCTGAATTGGACGTGTTCCATGACCAACAAACCACATTATAAGAAAAACGTATTCAACATTTACTGATTTTTTTAGCTACTGAAGTAATAACGGCAAAAGAAAGTAATTGATAGAACAGTCATTCACTCACTTCTGAGAAAAAAATCCGGTGCTTAAAATTTTCTCTCTTGATTAAGTAGATATTAGCTAACGCAGTCAAGTAATGACTTCCCTTAGACTTTCCAGGTATATTTATGGCTCAAACGGAAGTAGGAAACGAAATTGTTGACTGGGTCTCTTCGAGATAATATGAACAGTTTAAATTCTCTTGGTCGCTTGCAAGAGAAAAGGTGGATGATTGTCCAAAAAGTAGGATTGATGAAAAATAATTATACGCCCTGAAGTCTTAAGTTGTGTTCGTATGTCTCCCTTTCAAGGTCTTGACTTCGCTCGACGACGATTTATTTCTGATCGAGTCTCGGCTATTAATATCCAGGGAGCTTATCGTATGCAGAATTGATTCAGAATCAAGGTAACCCACCGATCTTAGATCACCTAGGTCTTGTTGTTCAAAGCGCAGCTAACACTTTCCAACGGATCAATCGCTATTCAGCAGATAAGTGTTAACAAACCATTGGGTGGAGATTTTATCATAGGGTAGCGTCATTCGCCCTTCGAACAACCGGGGCCTGCTGGCTAGAAGGCAGATGATAGCAGCAAACTGTAGGTGAATATTTCGTGCTTTTCTCGATCCGAACAGATAGCTAATGCGCCTCAAGTTATGCATGAGTCTCACTTTTTATTGTTGTTAACTCTTACGGTGTCGTTTACCATAATGGTACGACACGAATGGATGTGTTAATAACTATCAAAGCAGGAATCGGCCCCGAAAAAGCTCAATGATGTACTAGGAAGGAAGATAATAGAGTTGGAACACAGAAAATTATTCCCTGGAAAGCTATAAGAGTTACCGTGAATGGACGCGATCAGGATACGCGGTCGAAGAGACCAATTGTCGCCGATAGCTACTTTTCAGTCATTAGGGACATCCAATTTACAACTCCTTTCTTAAAACTTCGTAGATCAGCTGCAAACTTTCCTCCTAATTTTCAGTTTTGAGTTCTTAAGCAATACACTTGACTTCCCCAGACCCTTTTTTTTCTTCCCCCTGTGAGTATGAATAGCTATCGCAGAACTGTCAGGGAACCTGACGAAATGTGGGGGGGGGGGGGGGAAGGGAGTTGAGGGTGGATTACCTCCGATGGACTGGCATCCTTTTCAGTCCTATCCAATACTCCTAAAGTATGCCACAGAAACCAAGATAAGCTTTGGTGCAGTAAATCACCCCTCGAAAACCTTAGATTTGGCGCGTTTTCGTTTTCTTTTTGATTTTCTGTAGCGTTGTCCAGCTGAAAAGGGGAACAGGCAGCCCAAGCTCCAGCTGTGAGATTATCATATTGCGAAATAACAGTCATGACGAAAATATAAGAGTTTGTATGAGAATATTTACGACAGCTCTTGGGAAGTAAAAATACAGTCAAATCTCAATCGACCCAGGATAAGTTATTTAGTTCCACCACAAATGAGCAGACTTTGAATCATTTGCGGTCTCTCTGTTTCCTTTATTAACGGCTGTTTTGTCTCATTAGGTAAATGAATATCTATCCATCGGTTAAATAACTCGTTAATCGTAACCTCAGCCTAACTGTGATAGCTTAAAATTAAACAAGGTGTGTTTGACTCTTACCGCATAATTTTTGTCACTATTTTCTGTTTGTCTGACAACATTTTGTCTTTCCCAAGGCAGTAGATAAATAAAAGAACAATCTTAATGACAAAGAAAATCCAAAAAATCCAAGAAAATTTGATGAAAATAAGAGATTATTCGCAGAGGACCGCATTAACTTCTTGTTTCTTACTTTTTTCTTTTTCTGGGTACGATTTATTTATTTTTCGAATGGTAACCTGAAAATTCATATTCTTGGTATTTCAATTCTCACAGATTTCAACCGTTTATAAGCAAGATCATATATTATTTTCTCTCGTGTATAGCTGTTATTCGGTGACTGATGTCATCCAGAAAATATGAAGCACCATTTTCGTACCATGAGTTGATCATTCGACGTTTCACATGTCTCTTGTTATTAAATCCGATAGATAGCATGACTGTATACAGCTCACAACTAGAGAATTTGCCCGCGGCTATATTTTGCGGAGGAACTACCTTATCTGAGCTGTACGGGGTCTTTAGAACTTCATTTCTGTCAAAAGAAATTGCGGATCAGTTGAGCCTCACGCGGCAAAAAGCCTTTTGCCTTGTTTTAATAGTAATCGACTGTTGGTCACAACCACCAAACACTAAAGCTGATGGCCTTTTCAACACCGCGCCCCGCAGCCATCAGACAAAACTTGTCCTCGATTCTTTTCGGTACTGATATTTTGATTTTTTTAAACTAAGTTGAGGCACTAAAGAAGGCTTCTTGGCACATCCCTTGATGGCAGGAAACAATCTAGAAAAAAACCACACTCAGCTTTCATCTGGCCACTACATCTGGACCTCGTGCAGTGGGCGTGGCCTTTGAACATCATGTTCCATGCACTACACGAGTCGTTTCCTCAGTTAGTGAGTGTTGAGTAATCCTTGACAGTAACACTCCTTGTTCTTCCTCCTGCAACGATCGTAACCCAGGTCACCATTCGAAAAATAAATAAAATCATCTGAAAATTTCTTTACCTAGGTATTTCATTTCTCAAAGATTTCAATCGTATGATTTTTACTCGGCGGCTGAGGTCATGGGTCGAGTCATCGTAACCTGGATAACTCTTGTTCGCAGGATTTTCCATGTTTCTTTAGAAACGTACATTTACAGTGTACGTTAAAACAAGAAATTCCCAGCCCACCCTCCAACAAGCAAACAAACAAATGAAGGAACTACGGAAAGAATAACAAACAAACAAACAAACTTAATAAATATCAATTCATTCTACCGCACCGTATGCGCTGTTTAAGTAGTTTTCGCTTACAACTTCCGTTTTCCGGCTGTAGGCGCAATTTTTCCCTCTGTGGTATCCCCGGTCCTCCCTGGGGGAGCTAACATGAATCTCGAAATTTCCTCGGTTTATCAATTTGCAGAGTACATCTCTCAATGCGTGCAAAGCTTTGCTCTGATTCGTTTGTCGATGTAATTTGTTTTGACAAGGAATACTAAGTCAAAAATCGCTCGCTTTTCTGCATTACAAAGAATTTTAAGTAAGTAGATTTATGTGTTAATACTCTTTGAGTTTCAAACATTTTTGGCTAACGACGAAAAGCTTTAGTAATGGCTATTTTTTACAATATGACCGCGTTCAGATGGCTCAGACTTTAGACTTCAGACTGCTTTCTTCACATCCACCATGACAAGTGCGTGATTATTGTCAATAGAACTCTGACATAAAATGTGAACCGATCAAAATCCAGGCACAGGTACATAGCCTGCGTAATTTTTTATTACAACCAGAACCAACAATTTGAACAAAGGCTTTCTTGCCTTCTTTGATATTTTTGTAGTTTATAAAAGAGATTATCATAGAAATCGCGATGCCGTGTTATTTTGTTCCTTCGCTATTTATGGTATCATGTTTTTTTCCCACGCACTGTGATATCAGATCTCTGGCAGGTGTGAACTACGCACATTGAATTTGATTGGTTTGCTTCTACACATCTCCTGCACGCCTCCTTTACGCCCCTGAATAGAATTTCAAAAAATATACTTGCATTTCCCAGCATTTGAATATTTTTTTTAGTCACCTTGACAGCCAGCTTAGCTAATTTCCTTTTTTCGTGAAGATTCCTAGGGGAAGTTTTAAATTTTTAGCTTGTTTGTGGGAGGTAAATAAAGTTTGCGATCAATTTCTATCTTCTCATTACGTCATACACGCGCCGGAGTAAATATCATTGCGTGGCGTAGAAAGGTTACACGAGGTTCTCTTCGGTGAAATTTGTACTATTTTCAGCTGGTTTGGTCGTGTTTCACAGAGCAGTTTGGGTCATATTTCTGCCTTCTTTAAATTGATCTCATGGCTGAGTCAAATAATGCCCAAAGTGCCGACGAAAACGGCATCAAAGTCGCCCAGCCAAGCGATATAGTTTTGGACTTGAACGAATCGAAAACGAAAGACGTTCGTATCGTTAACGGTTCTGTGCATTACACAGGCGAAGAAATAGCAGCCAACAGAGAAGTAAGTGGCAGTTCTGGCAAGGAAGTCCAGCAAAACAGCAACGGAATCGAGGGAAACATGAACGGTCATCAAAATGGCGACTCAAAGAGCCCGGTTGGGAATGAGGAAATTGTGAAACTCGCTCCTGCCGAGTCGACGTGGACGGTACAAGCAGAAGGTGCTGTGAAGCTGTTAATGGGATCGACTGGAAGCAGAAGTTGTACCCCACTTACCGTCGTTCAGTGTGTCGAACGAGCTGTGCGTCATGCCCCGACCAGGACAGCCCTTGCAGTCAAGCGAAACGGCGAATGGCTGAAATGGACCTACGCTGAGTATTACGAATCTATACGAGCTGCGGCTAAGTCATTCATAAAGGTTCGTGAAATACTTCCCTTTATTGCTGTTGAATTTATAACATAATAACCGTCTTTCGAAAAGTGTTATTGTTGTACGAAACTTAAAAGCACCTAAGACTGAAAGTTGTATTGTCGAACAGCAACGCCATTGTTCTTGAGAAGATTGATTTTATTTATCTTTTTTCCATATGATTGGCAAAGGTGTTTGTCATATTTGATCGGAATAATCGTGGCATAAAAGTGCAGAGATTATAGTTTTATTTCTTACGTAGTTCTGGCTAGCTAAGTTTCTTGGGAATTGTTTACCTCAAGTAGGAGAATTTAATTAATCTGAGAATATTGTTTTGTTTGCACCTTGAAGGAATATTTTTTGTGAAATTATGTTTTGTTTAGAAAGCTTCGTGTTTATTGAGAAACCGTGCAATGCAGCAAGAGTTTAATCTTCTGAACTGTTAATTTGATTTTATGTCGATGTGTTTATGTTCTTGAGGAATTTGTTTCCTCTAATCTTGTATTTGCATGTATTAGATCTGTATTGGCCTGTTGAGGAGTGTAAAATTTACAAGTTTAGCTCATTTGGTGATCATTTAAAACAGTTATTCAACATATTGAAATTGGACTTTGTTTGGTGGTGCAAAGATGACAAAGACCTAGCAAAATAAAGGAAGAAATCGAAACCTTTCACATCACTGGTTTGTTGCGATCATAAAATATTGAAAAGTGGTTTAAATTACATGTGAAAAATATTGTCTAGACTGCCTGCAAACGCAGGTTCTTTGACAAGGTTAATCACGGCGAGTGATTTGTCTGCCTTGAGCCACAGTACTGAACTAAACTAGTATGTGAGTTGAAATTAGCATTGTCATTGTCATTTTGATAAGTAGTCGTAAACATTCATCATATCTTTGAGTTACCCCTCATCTTTACCATTAAACTACGGATATTATCATAAGAAGGTATCTGCTACAATGTTCTTGTAGATTTGGTTAAAGCAACCAGATTAACTTAGCAACTTATTTATGTATTTCCATTTTTAACATTGTTTTCTGCAAAGAGCTGTATGCAATGATTTAAGCATAAGGTTATGAGGAAAGTATGGTGTAACAGACATAGGTTTGAAAGATGAAATGGATGGTAACACTAGTTTGTTATTTTTTTTTATACTTCTTTAACTATGTTATGACACAACACTGTAAGTAATTGAATATCAAGTGTTTGAAAAGGAGAACTCTGCTGATGATTGATCTGTGCCATGGTTAGGGATGTTATGCCTAGTTTTTGAGACATGTCATGTAACTCCCTTGACCATGATAGGCAAAATTCCAGGTTTGATGTTCTGTACTTCTTAAAATTTATTTTCAATTCATTTACCAATAGCTTGGTTTGGAGCGTTTTCATGGAGTTGGGATCATTGGATTTAACTCTCCGGAGTGGCTCATCTCAGATTTGGGGGCCATTTTTGCAGGGTAAGAGTGTAATGACTCTCCTTGTCTTCTTGATATGGTAAATTGTTGTTGTAAGGAGAAATTCTATTTTGGTCACTTTTGGGAGTTTAAGGGTTAAACTTCAGATATGTTGTTGTGGGTGAAATTTGAAATGAAAAGAAAGCCCTGCGTTGCAATTTGTAGCAATATACCAATAATAACATTTTTCATTTTCCATCTCTATCAAAACATTCAACACAACAGCTGTACCTTCTCAAAACATTGTCTAGACAGGTTATCAAAATGCCTTGAAAGATTACCAACATGAAGTGGGTGTCATGGAAATGGCTGGAAAGTGATAAATATGTGACTAGCATTATAAATTTTTTATAGCATTATTATCTACAAGTAACCTTAGTGTATGCTTGGCAATAGAAAAGAAAAGTCACATATAAATACATTGTTTGAGTGCTGTCCTCACAAAAAATATTCTTGAATAAATTTTCTGAGTAAAATAATAAATGTTTTCAAAGTCTTTAACCCTTAATGCCCTAACACCAGTATGCATATTCTTCATTTACAAACATTTACTAAGGTGTTGACGAGGAGAATTTGTTTAACCATCAAGAACTCCTTTAGTTCATGATCATTTCTTCTTTTCTTGTGACCTTAATGTATGATGTGGGGAGGCTATTGTAAGGAGAAGTTAGATGATAGTCACTCTTATGGATCAAAGGGTTCAAACTTGATGTGGACTCTATTTATTTTGAGCTTTATGGAGACCTCAAATAATTGTGCAGGAGATATGGATTCTTGAATATTTCTTACATTTACATGTACCTACTGCCTGTCTTGTAGTCATACTGACTACCAATGAGTTGTTAGCCAATTCACTTGATCCATCAATCTTCCCTGCGATTTTCTGAATATTACAGTTTATAGATAATCCTTCAGCCAGTCCAGTTGTTAACCCTTTAACTCCAAGAAGTGATTAACATGTCATGTCTCCCTATAATGTCCGCAAGTTCTTCAGTAAATGGGTACAGAGAATACGCAACCTTATCATTTAAAAGTTTTTGTCTTGATCTAGCACCATAATTTCTTAATTAATTCACAAGGAAAGTAAAACAGCTTGAGGGAAGAATTAACAATCATATCTTGGGAGTGAAAGGGTTGATGTTATTCTTCAGCTTTATTTACTTATATTTATTTATTTGTCTCTCATCTCCTTGAACCTCCCTCCCCCATCATTTGTGCATTCACTCGTGGGAATGTCTTTGAATACTCTGACAAGGGTTTATTATGCCCATATCATTTCAAAGTGTGCCTTTATAAACTGTATTTTTGATTTCACAGAGGTCTAGCTGTTGGGATTTACGCCACAAATTCTCCTCAAGCATGCCATTATGTTGCTGAAAATTGTGAGGCTAATGTCATAGTTGTTGAGAATAAACATCAGCTGCATAAGATACTTCAGGTGTGTAAATTACTATGTAACTGGTTCACATTTAAAATGATGGACATACATGCTGGTAGCTGATGGTTTTATGGTATGTTAAGCTATACAGTCACATATATGATATTATATATATATCTCTTTTCACCAAAAAGGTGTGCCTCTTTTACATAAGTAACAAAAAGAAAGAATGAAGGGGAAAAAAACAAATAAATATATAACATTTTCTGTATCCTTCTGAAGCTCATCTCCTCTAGCTATTTGAAATGTGCATTAAGTATTCCAGTAATTTATTATCTTCTTTGCCCAAATTAGATCTGGGACAAACTTCCCCATCTGAAGGCTGTGGTTCAGTACATTGGTGAGATAGAAGGGGACAAGCCATCTAATGTGTACACAGTGAGTAAAATGTGTTTTGGTAATTCTGATTTAAATGTATAGTTCATTAAGGCTTAGATTATTAGATGACATATGGTTGTTAGTTCCTTATTTTATTTGAAATGGTGTGATTTATTTGCACTTTTCTTTTAAATTTCTAGTGGAAGGAATTCATGGAAGTTGGGAAAAGTGTTTCGGATGAAACCCTTCAAGAAAGAATGGATGAGTTGGTGGCAAACAAATGCTGCACACTTGTGTATACTGTAAGTTTTGATTTTTTACTTACTTTTTCTTGACTCTCAAATGTCTTGCAAACTGTTTAGCTGGTAAATAAGACGGCAGGTTCTTTTAGGAACTGTTGTCCTGTTTTGGCTACAAAGAGAAAAACAAGACAAGATTTTCTTTGTATGAACCTGTAGTGTGTCCTCAAGTCCTCAGTAGTTCAGAACTGAAGCACTGATCACTTGAATTCAACAGTCTGAAATTTGAACCTTCATAGGAACTTGTACCTTTTTTGGTGTGTAAAGCCATGCATCAGAAATAACATCTTTCTTTACACTCTCCTGAGTTATTTATCTGTGGCTGGTATCATGTAATGCATTTCTGTTACTACTTGTACAGTCTGGAACTACTGGAAATCCCAAAGGTGTCATGCTGTCACATGATAATGTAAGTAACTGTTTTGGAACTTAATTTTGAACATTGTGTTCCTGTATTAGGAAAAGGCTTTCATTTTTCTCATGATGTACATCAGTTTAAAATTAAGGGGAAAATTTTCTGGGGTTACGAGATGGTTTCTTTTAGAAGGATTTGGCTGTCCTGTTTATTTGATGGTATGCTAAAAGGTAATGTGTTGAACAATGAAGTTACAGAATATGAGTCATTGGCAAAGTTAATGGCACTATTGTGAGTCTCCTATATCAAATAGATAAAATAGGGAAAAAAAAGAGAGAAAGAAGAAAGAAGAGAAAAATGGAAGACATAAAGTTCTGTACTTTGTAAGGTTGTTTCTGTGTTGTTAGCATAGCAAAGCATGGTTTAGTTTCCCCAGACAGTAAGTTGAAGGGCTGTAAGAATGGCAAACTAGTTTGATGTGGTTGTGATGTTGAAATACAGTGTAATGACAGGATAAAAGTGGGGTTAACTGATCTGAAAGTACTCCAAGGTTTAGGGTATCTTTCCTGTGTGATATGATCTATTGTGGCTCCACTACATGCAGCTTGACTTTGTTCAATATTTTCTCTCAGTTAACTTGGACAGGAGAGGCAGCTTCAAAGTTTGTGGGTATTGGAGAGAAGGACATAGAACAAGTGATCAGTTACCTTCCACTCAGTCACATTGCTGCACAGGTATTTTATGGCCGAATTAATGAACTTGGATTGAACACTAATTTACAAATGTAGAATAGACTCCCTATGGCAAATGTCAACAACCACCTGCACTATTCAAAGGACTTACTCAGAAAATTTACATGAAAAACAATTCAACCACTATGACCTAAGTTTTGTGGGAATCTAAATCATCACCAGCTTGTCCCACTTGAGTCTTGCAGCTAATTACATCACTGCAAAACTGACCAATCAGCCAATTACATCACTGGAAGACTGACCAATCAGCCATGAACCAGGCCTTAAGAACAACTTGACTGACGAACAACTCTTCACTTGACTTTGGCAATGACCTCTGCAAAGATTATTGAAATGTCAGTCATTACCACTGTCAACAGTCCTTCCCAGGACTTCTCTCACCCACCTGAACAAACTACATGTTGATTAGATTGAACAATAGATGAAAAAGGGTTGCAGGATTATTATCATGTTTTAACAGGGTTTATTACAGGAAGACTCTCTATTAAAGAACAGTCAATTCTAGGTTCAAACCCCCAGACTGTACTTAAAACAGTGGCAGTTAAAAGTGTCTGTCAGTTGTTCCAATAAATGTGAAATTCAACAGGTCAACAACCTCGTAAAATAATAATATCTTATAAGATAAAAAATATTTATTATTAATATTTTCAGATGTTGGATATTTTCATGCCTCTTTATTCTGTTGCTACTGTGTGGTTTGCACAGCCAGATGCACTGAAGGTAAATGTTAATTTTACAGTATGGTGTTAGGAAAGAAAATACAACATAAAATTGTCAATACAATGTGGAATTGTCCCAAGTATATATTCATTACTGAGTGAGGCAGTTAATTGTTGCTTGCACTTTGTTCTCTGAATGTTAATTAGTTTGTGTTGGCAAGAATCTTACTATATCTTCTTCAGTCTCCAGACTGTGTAACATTTATTTATCATGTCAAAGACATGCAATATGTTCCTTCGCTTGAGAGTGTCTCTCTTTAGCAGTAGGAAATTGGGCTGGAAACTTCAATTATGAAAAAATGTTTTGATAGGTGACTAGCTTCTTGTCTCACTGTCAACAATAGAGTTAAGGAATTTGTGATTTCAACTGAAAATCCATTGTTTGACAAAGCAAGCTTGATGTTTAATGCTACATTATGAGAGAAAGTGGAGAGTAACAGTCTGATTGATGTGATTGCATTTTAGCAAACCTGATTTACAGGAACTTGAATCTTCTGTGCTGTTCACTAGTTAATATTGATATGTGCCTTCTTGCATTGTAATAATGATTTTGAATATGCAATTCTGCAGGGTACACTCTCACAGACCTTACGAGAAGTCAGGCCAACTTTGATATTTGGAGTCCCAAGGTTAGTCAGATAATTACATCAAATAACATGAAGTAGTGTCAGTAAAGATTCGCTTTTTGATAGACCAGTGTGAGGCACAGCTTAGTAGTCCCTAAATTGAATTCTTGAAATACTATTGACCAGTTTGATATGGCTGAAAATCTTTTTGTGGGTGATAAGGTATGATACATGAAGATAAAAGTGGCCTAAATATTTTCTCCTACAGAGTGTATGAAAAGATCATGGAAAAAATGAAAGAAATCGGACAAACAGTGACAGGTTTGAAGAGGAAGGTGGCTAATTGGGCCAAGGGTGTAGCTTTGCAAGGAAACATAAACCTTGAAAATGGGTATGTACACATTTTATGTATGACCTCGATATCGAAACTGTGACAACATGTATGCTTGGGCTCACTCATAATAATATACATGTATTTACCACTAAGATATTTTAAGGAGGGTTTCCCTTTGGTTGTCACAAAGTATTATACATTAAGTGATTTAAAAGATTGACAATTTTTCTCCTTTACATTAATTTCTGTTGTAGGGATATGAATTGCAATACTTGCTGTGTGTGCATGTAACATTGATATTTATGTAAATTCAATATAACTTGAAACCCATAAGGAAAACTACCACCAAAGAAAAACAAATTTCATGAAGTGGCCACACAGTCAAAATTGTCACAAAAGGAAATCAAATAAAAGCCTCTGATTGTTTTTTGGGGCACAGGAAATTACAGAAGTTATCTTACTAGTCAGTCAAGTATTGGCAGTGTTGTCAGACTGCAGGGTTGTTTTATTTCAAATAGTAAATGAACTTTTGCTTTTTTTTTTCTTTTCAGTCATTCAGTTCCATTTGGTTGGACTCTAGCCAATAGCCTGGTACTGAAAAAGGTACTTCACATGATTGCCACTTTAAAAACTTTGCCACTTTTTGTTGAGCCCAGTTTGTATAGCGCCGACTTAATTTGTTGTATCCTATCATAACTGAAGATGTGGAAATGATACAAGACATCTACTTGTAGGGAAGAAATACATTAAAGGAGGTGAAAGAAAAAAACAGATGAACGAGGACGACAAAGGAGGGACAAGATTTACGTTAACATCTTCAAAAAAAAAAAAAAAACAAGAAAAATTAGATTAAGTTTGTCTTAAAGATGCAGCTCGTTTTTCACTCACAAATAATTAATTGTCCTCGTTGAGTGCCAAACGTTTGTTATGATTTTAGCCTGTTGAAATGATTGATTTTTCTCTTTCTTCTCATCACTCTTATGCTTTCAACTTATCAATATTTTAAGGGAAAAAAATCTCATTGTTCACTCATGGAAGTGAAAGGGATCCTCCAATCTCTCATTTTTTTTCTTCGTTAATCAGATCCGCCTAGCCCTGGGACTAGACAGGTGCAGACTGTGTGTAGTCGGTGCCGCTCCTGTTACTTTGGAAACCATTCGTTACTTTCAGAGTATTAACATTCCTCTGTTCGAGCTGTACGGAATGAGCGAGAGTACTGGTCCCGCAACCATATCTATCCCAGGCTGTGTCAAGGCTGGAAGCTGTGGTGTGGCTTTTGAAGGAGTGGAGGTTAAAATCCACAATAAAGACGAGGAAGGAAACGGCGAGGTGAGCTTAAATACTATAGGCTAAACAGTCTTGAGTAAGCGACACCAACGCTCTCACACGCCTTTTACCAATTAATCAAAACTATGACAAAATTTGACAAAGAAACTAGGAATCGGTTATACGTTTTCATGACAAAAACGACAGTTAACTCGGCGAATTGCGAGACAACAGCGGGCGCACTTGACGCGTTCTGTCCACTTGCTCAGGCATGAGGTTTTATCTGTTCCTCTCACTGTCCAATTACAGGCATGACACGTACTCTGTCCTGTTAGTGCCAATCGGGCCGGTGATAACCAATCACGTTCGAGAATTTTGTTATAATTTTGATTACTTATATAGTCGGGCCAATTATATGATGAGCTAGTTGAAAATTTATGCCATTACCGTCTGAGGTCGCGGCAAATGAAATCTTCTAGTTTATGTGTTGCAGGCTAAATTTCACAAGAAATTTTATTTCCAATAACGAAAAACAATTTTTTCAGCAAGTTTCATGATATGAATGTTTCTTCCCTTACGTCTTCCTGTTTTCATCGTCAGGTGTGCCTCAGGGGACGTCATGTTTTCATGGGATACCTGAAGAACGAAGAGAAGACTCACGAAACCATGGATGAAGAAGGATGGCTTCACTCAGGAGATATCGGAAAACTTGACAAGGTGGATTTTCTTCATTAACTCGAGAAACAATTGTGTCTATGTTGGAACGTTATGCACTTAAGGTTAATAGGGAGTAATATTACGTAAAGGAAGTGGGTATTTGTCTTGAAACTGCCGATCGTGAAGTCTCATTTTTTGCATTATCACACTTTGGTAACTGATAGTCGTAAATGGACTCAGCTGTTAGATGAATTATGAACGTAGTGAAACTTGATGGTAAGGTAAACTGTGGTCCATGCCCTTTGTCGCCCGAACAGAATACTTTTAACTAAACGAAAGTTCACCTTCCATCATTTTAAAGGGGGAGGCGGTGGGGAGAGAGAGAGGGGATGGGAGGAAGATAAAGGACCTCTTTTTGCTATTTCTGCGATCTTTTCCCACACCTTTGTTTTCTGATGTCGACCCTCTCTTTATTTCAATTTAGGCTGGGCAACTGTACATTACTGGACGAATCAAAGGTAATTTATACTTCCTTCTGGGCTGAATTTTAATGAGTCCTTATTATTATTATTATTATTATTATTATTATTATTATCATCATCACTATTATCATTATTTTTATTTTTGTTATTATTATTATTATTATTATTATTATTATTACACTTGTCATTATCATTATTTTTATTATTAGTAGTAAATACAGTATTAACATTACATCATGCACCTCTTGCTCGCGCTTTGCGTTTCACGCTTCTTCTCCTCCCCAGTGAAAAATGGGAAAATAATGCCTGTGCTGCACGCCAGCGGAGGTTCCATTGTCTAAAAAAATTTGTTCCTCATTTTGTTTCCCACAGAGCTGATTATCACGGCTGGCGGTGAAAATATCCCACCAGTCCCAATCGAGGATGCTATCAAGGAGGAGGTTCCTCTGATCAGCAACGTCATGGTTATTGGAGACAAAAGGAAGTTTCTCTCTTGCTTATTAACGCTCAAGGTAAAGAGGTTGATTTTGATTGGATAATATAGTGGCACTCACCTTCCGAGTGCCATGAAAATCATTAATGGTATACATCCACAGCAAATGGAAATTAATGATGCTAACGTTTAGAGCTCTTGTCGATTGCTTGTTACAAAACAAAAAGCCAAGTTAACGACAGTGACCAATAGAGCAGAGGAAAGATCCTACGGCGCCAGTGAAAAGTCATAATAGACACAAGCAAACTGCTCAAGGGGTGGAAGAACGCTGGTCATCAAGTTGCGATTGGTTCGAGGCGTGCCAGTTTTCTTGACCAATCACCGAGCAAAGTAAAGCAAGACCAATGCAATCCCGAATTACAAAGAATATTAGGAAGAGTAAAGCGGCTTGAAAACTGAATTACTATTGCAATAGAGAAGTGAAGTGGAAAAGAAGGGGACCGAAAAACCCTTTGCATAAGGAAGACTGAAAAACTGAGAGCAACTACTACATTACTCCAAATGTCATTTGAGTGACCCAATTTAGTTAGACAGGATAGCTTGTAGATTCAGTATTAGCCATCATCAGTGTTTAACGTTGATATAAATGTAGTAGTTGACTTTCTCATGCATTTTGGCATTTTGCTATTAGGTTGTTGTTGACGTAGAAACTGCCGAACCTTCTGACAATCTCACCGATGTTGCCCTCGATTACTGTAAGTCCATCGGCAGTCAAGCAAAAACTGTTTCCGAAATTCTGTCGACCAAAGACGAGAAAGTAATGAAAGCCATCCAAGAGGGAATTGATCGAGCTAATGCCAAGTCCACGTCCAGAGCTCAAAAGGTATGGAACGAAAAACAGAGTTTCCATGAGAGTTTTTGAATATATATTTGATTTCGAAAAGATGGCGGTGCATAGAACAGTGTACTACAGTTAATCTGTAATCATCTATTGTATTGAACCCTTTAATTCCTAAGAGTGACTAGCATCTAATTTCTCCCAACAATTTAACCCTGAATTAAACTTAAAGTGCATGAAAATAGGTAAAATGAACTCCAACTAAAGAAGCTCTCTGAAATTCTCTTCGTCAGCACCTTAGGATTTATATGGAGAACTGTATGGAGAATATACATTTTGACAGTTAAAAAGCACGACTAAAAGTATATTCATTTGCAATCACTTCCTTAAAATTGTTCATTTTAGGCTTGATGTTGCAAGTCCTCTTGCGTTTGTGTAAACACGTCCTATCCGATAATTCTTATCTTAAAATATACTGTCTCTTGCAGGTGCAGAAGTGGCGCATCTTGGAAAAAGACTTTTCCCTTCCAGGGGGAGAGTTGGGTAAGAATTTGTTTGAATAATTAAGAATGGTTTACTCTGTTCTCAATTTAGCTCCGTCCTTGTTCTTTCACTCCAAAGGTCTGAGAGTGAACTCTCCCATATGATGACCATGCCTTCCTTTGTTGGCCACTCCTGTAAATTTTGTGTTTCATGCAGGCGATAGTCCCTCGTCCATAATTTTCGTAATTCTCAATACTCGTCTGTTTTACAGTATATTAAGATTAAATGGTGAATTTGGATCCTGATCGCTTCAGGAACTCTGACTGGCAAACTTTGAGATTCGCTCGCTAACGTAACGAGAAAAAATGGCATTGAAAGGGACGCTGTAATATCATACGAGATATAGTTGATATTGATTTGTTGACCCTTATGTTATATTTGTACTTTATTCTAGGTCCCACTCTGAAGCTGAGGCGGCCAATTGTGAACAAAATGTTCAAAGATGAGATCGACGGTTTCTACGAAGAAGCATAAGATCAAACCAGTAAAACAAGACACATGAATCTAGTGTAGATAAATGATATAACGGAATACATTGGTAGCTGTGTACGATTTCGACGTAATATATTGTCGACCCCTTTTTATGGTAGTTTTGAACTTTGGTAAACGTGTTTGTTTGTATATTGAGGGAGAACAAGTGATCATTATCCTTATTAAAGGAGAGGCAATCATAACGGCGTAGAAAAGTTTAAATCATCAAAGGGGATACGAATAACTTGATGGAGATTAATTATATATAAAGAAACATGACGCACAGTAATTTAATGCTTACATTTTAATCTAGTCAGGGGATTGAATTATGATCAGCACATTGGATTTGCGCTAAAATTCAGCTCGAGTGTAGAGAAAAGGGGGGTCTTCCCCCCTCTCTACCCTCCTCTCACCACCACCACCACCCCCCCTCCGGCCCTACCCCGCCGTCACACCCAGGGAGCAGGTTATGTCAAGGCTCTTTGAGAATTGTTTATAAATGTAACATTGTCGCTGTTAATTGCCCTAATTTTTGTATTTATTGCGGCAACTGTTCGGTGATTAGCTATGTTGGTAGATTTATAGGAAAACAACAATTTTGTGTATAATTTCACGTACGTGTAAGTCTCAATGTGCCTCAAAGCTAACCTTCGTAAGATGCAAGGAAGAGAATTTCTTCCAGTGAGGTCAAGTAGAAGCCTCCTCCTGTAAAAATAACGACGGCAAGAGTGGGTTTTCAGTTTTGCGTTTATCGCAAGGCGGCAGTTTCTGCCTTTGCGTTTGACGAAATAGATTTGGTTAGTTTAAGCGTGAAAGAAACTTTCCCTCACCTTATAGCTCCCAGATATGATTCAAATGTAATTTACCCTTACAAACTTCGTACATTATCAAGCAAAGTCGACAAGAGTACACAAAATTATCACTCACAGGGTATAGTTTGGTATAATACCAAATTCTCCGCCTAATTCACTAGGGAATGTATGAAAGTTGGAAGGGAGAATTGCGAGTCAAATCAAGGGAGTTAAAGGTTAAAAGATCTGTATTCTTAATAGATAAAACCTATAGAGATCTGTATTATTAGGGGAACTGTATTGTTTGCTAAACTATTGCAGGAAATTCTAAATCTGAGAACCTAAAGACAGTTACTTCTCGTTACTGCATAAGAATTTACCATGAAGTTACTTTTCTTTTGAGCTCATATGAAATATCTCTTCTGTAAGATAACGTATAAATATCTTGGTTCACAAAAGTCCTACTGACTAACAACTAAGCAAGGATGTTTAGTAATTTCGGGAAGAGAAACATGTAATGCGCTTTGGCGTCTTGCAAAACGAAGAACAGGTAGTTTTTTAAAGGGAGACTGTTTGTCATCTGTTTGTTGGGCGGAAACCAACTCAGTAGGAATCCTGCAATTATTAGGCATCCTTACTCCGTCTAGTTTCAATTGATATTAGGTTTGTGCAGTAGTCGCGAACTACTGAAATTATATTGTTTATGTAATCACATGTATCTATCTAAGCTTAGTCGAAATATTGAGTAGTAAGTCACATAAGTGTGAAACAAACAGGGTCATTGCGAAAAATTCGATTTCTATTAAAATCACTATCCAGATGTTGCTCTGTCGTTTGAACGACTGTTGTCAATCCTCGATCCAGCGACCGTGGGTCTATGTCGACCTTCACAGAATAACAAGAATTCATCATTCCACCATTCATTACGCCATTTTACCGTATTAAGGCAACGGAGCGCCAATATGATTTTTAACATTGCCGCTGCTTTCTCTCTTTCTTTTCTGATTGTTTCTGTCTCACATCTTGGTGGGCCGTACGCCGGGCTGTACAGCTTTTTCTGGCCCGTGCCCACTTCTTCGCGTATGGCTCTCTTTCGAGTAATCAGTGTCGTAATTTTTTCAAGGAAAGTGCGCGTTTAAGTGCGTGTTGTATGATAAATGACTCAGCCGTTTAGAACAATTCCGTTTTCGAGTGATTGAAACAATTCTCAGCAGTGAAAAGGAAGTAAGGATAGGAAGCCTTTCCATTCCTGAGCGGACCGGGAGCCTCGCGTGGGAATGGGGCGAAAGTGATTACTGAAATCTTATCTTATCTTATCTTATCCACTTTTCCTATATAAATAATTTTTTTTTCATCGATTAAATTTCTTCCGAAACCAAAAGGTCCTTTTTAAGAAAGGTTGATGATTACTCCTATCATTCCTTCTTTATTTTTCGACAATGAAAGGCAAACTCTCTCTAAAATTGAAAAACGCTTTCACAGTGATTAAGAATTACTTGTTGCTCTTGGTGAATTTTCAGCCCTACTACCACAAAAGCTTTGTTTCCAGGATATTTTAGCAAAGATAAGACATTTACTGATTTCCAGTTCCTAAAATACCAAGCGGTGGGTATAACTTTTGTTGTCGTTGTTATTTTTTTAAATTTTGCTTCCGAGTGCTGTTCTTAGCTTTGCATAGTTTAGAATGGAAGCCATCCTTTGGTTCCCTTAATTAACAAAATTGTTTTCAGTGTGAAGAAGTAGGCTCGTTCCGGATTTCAATCGTACAGCTGACTCAGTTGCGGCAGCTTAGGTGATAACCACCTTTTAATTTCGAGTTAATTTTTCAACATTTGGCTATTTTAACGCTTGTAGTTTTAATGTGATCGAGAGGTCTAATATAACCATATAAACGTTTGCTACTGGAGAAAAACATTACGCAGACCGGGAAAATTGCAAATTACGACATGAAGTTATGGTCACGCCAAATGAGCGTTCATGATCAGTGGTCTACTTACAAGTTCTATAAGATGTTTTAGGGTAGATACAATTTTTTTCGAAGGAGGTGTAAGAAAAATAGTCAAAAAGTAGTCGTTACTTCAGTTACTTTGCAAATGCTACGAGGTAGGTTGTGGTTCTCCAAGAAATTTTTAAGTTTTTACGATTGTCGTCTTGAGTCTGTGCCAGTCTTCTCCATTTCCGACCTTCCTCGTTCGTTTTTGGTCAATATTCTTTCCACCAATTTTGTCTTTTTGTGTTAATGTTTTTGTTGTCTGCTATCCTGTGCCGTTTTCATGCATACTATTAAACAACAATTTTGCTTGTCGAAAAGCAAAAATCAAACTATTGTGAAGTTCATCCCGCAGATTTCGGTTTCAGTGCATCAGTCACCATCCTCAAACTTCGTCAAACGCTCCAAAGTCCTAAAAACCTTAAAAGGTTTCGAAACGAAATGATATACCCAGGAGAGAAACGCACCAGGGTGTATTCTGTTACATGAGCTTGTGAAAGAGAAGTTTACAAGTTAGCCATTGCTCCCTATAAACGTCTTCAAAAAGTATGAATTATTTGTTATGATAAGCTGAGAGGGAGAGAGCCAAAAGAGGTAAATTAAATGCCAACTTGCGTAGTTTAAATAGTCAGATTGCAGGTTTAAAATAGTCAGATTGCAGGTTTAAAATAGTCAGATTGCAGGATTTAATGAATGACGAACCGAACAGACTGAGGGGAAGACGATGTAAACAGCAATGGATCCTTACCCCAATATTCTCATATTTTTATTCTTGTAGATGCTTGTAACATGAACGAGACAGGTGAGGTTATACAGTCCGTCTTGATTGGCCTCGTCGTCGCCAGTTTCTTTCTCAAAACCTGTCGAGTTCTACAGATCATTGGATTTTGTAAGAAATGCTTGGTTTGCAAACACAACAGAGGAATCATACACAGAATCCTCATATGGTCCAAAGCTCTGCATCTGGTCATGTTCCGTATCTATTGTTTGATCTCTGAGGACTCGAGTGCTATAGAATATGGAAAGAGGCTTCTTCACACCCTTCATAGCTATGACGAGAAATCTTTAGAATGTAACCTACTCCTAACACTAGCCGTTCTCTGTGAAAACCATGGGAAACTAGTTGATGCAGAGGAACTCTTTCAAAAGGCAGCAGAAATCAATAAGGAAATAGGCAACAGTAGCGAAGAAGCCTTTTGCTACGAGAAACTAGGGATTGTCTGTGATTCTCTTGGTAAAACCGTCAAAGCGGCGGAATCGTTCGAGAATGCTCTGAAGGTCAGAATACAAGTGGGTGACAAAACTGGACAAGCCAGAAATTACTCCAACCTTGGGGCCATGTTTCAGTCTCTTGGTAAATACATAAAGGCGAAAGAGTATCTCGAAAAAGCAATTTCTATCACAAAAGAATCAGGCGACAGGGATATAGAAGCGAGTTCTCATGGAAACCTAGGGACAGTATTGGAGAGAATTGGTGAATATAACAAGGCAAAAGAGCATCACGAAAAGTCACTCGCAATTAAGCAAGAAATTGGTGATCAAAAAGGTAAAGCTCCGACTTATGTGAACCTGGGCAATGTTTTTCTATCTCTTGGCGAGTATGCCAGAGCTAAAGAATATTTTGTTAAGGCTCTTATGATGTATCAAGAAGCTGGTGAAAGAATGGAAGAAGCAATATGTCACGGAAACATTGGAATAGTTTTACAGCGTCTTGGTCAATATCTAGAGGCAAAGAATTATCACGAAAAATGCCTGAAAATCAGGCACGAGATTGGTAACAAGGATGGAAAGGCATCATCTTATTGCAACCTAGGAACTGTCTTTCTCGATTTAGGTGAATATACCGAGGCTAGGGGTTATTTTGAAAGGGCGATTGAAATCGTAGTAAAAACTGGTGACAAATTGGTGGAAGCGAAATGTTATAGAAATCTAGGAAATGTGTTCCAGCATCTTAGCAAATATCGTAAGGCACAAGATTATTACCAGAAAGCACTTTTCATAGAACAAGAAATCGGATACAAAAAAGGAGAGGCAGCATGTTATGGAAATCAAGGCAATTTGTTTCAACTTTATGGTGACTATGCAAAGGCTAGAGATTATTACGAAAAAGCGATTAGAATCCAACAAGAAATTGGTGACATCAATGGTGTGGCTACATCTTACAATAGGTTAGGAACTGTGTATCAATTTATGGGTGATTATGGTAAGGCAAAAGATTATTACGGAGAAGCTGTGGCAATCAGACAAAAACTTGGGCACAGAAGAGGTGAAGCCTCTTCTCACTTCAACAGTGGAACTTTGTTCCAATTTCAAGGTAAGTATTTCAAGGCAAAGGATCACTATGAAAAAGCACTTGCAATCGCCCAAGAAATCGGCCTTAGGAAAGAAGAGGCATTATGTAAAGGAAACCTAGGAACTGTGTTTGAACATTTGGGTGAATATGTAAAAGCGAAGGATTACTACGAGAAAGCACTAACAATCCATAAAGAAATGGGCAATAGAGGAGGTGAAGCATCGTGTTATGGGAACCTCGGCGCCCTGTTTCACTCTCTTGGAGAATATGTCGAGGCACAACATTATTTCGAAAAAGACGTGGGGATAAGAAGAGAAATTGGAGACAAAAGAGCGGAGGCCACGTCGTACATAAATGTCGGAAATGTGTTTTTCAGTCTTGGAAAATACAAGAAGGCTGACGAAAATTTTCAGAAAGCACTTTTAATTTCAAAACTACTTAGTTACAGACAGGGAGAAGCAGGATCTTACAGTATGATTGGACGCATTCATCGCGTTATTGGCGACCACCAAACGGCCAAAGAATACTTCGAGAAGGCTATGTCAATCAGTGAAGAATTCGGGGACAAGAAAGGATTGGCAAGAGATTATGAACACCTGGGAAGTTTATGCATTTCCCTCAGTCAAAACGTCAAAGCTAAAGAATATCTTGAGAGGGCACTTGCCATCAGCAGAGAGATTCGTGACGGCAAAAAAGAGTTCTTGATTCTTTGCAGACTTACAAACGTTTCAATTTTGGAAGGAGCTGTTTTAGATGCATTTGCATGTCTTTTTACGAACATTCAGAATTGCGAGGAATTGCGTGGTGCTGTTGGGGACAGCGATCAATTTAAGATATGTTTTGCACAACAGTGTGTTTTCCCGTACTGGATTCTCAGTGAAATGTTTCGTTTGGCTGAAGACTATAATCAGGCACTCTGCGTTTTAGAGCTCGGAAGATCCCGGGCCTTAACCGACACACTGTCAGCCCAGTACTCATTAGCAAACCAAGTGTCCACTGATTTCCAATCCTGGACCGGCATTGAAAATGTCATGGACAAACAGAGGAAAAGTACTTGCCTCTACATCTCGTATACACCTCGAAATTTGGTTCTGTGGATTTTGAAGAGAAACGGTGTCTTCAAAATCCACGAAAGAGAATTCAGTGATGTAATGCAGGGCGGATTATTGAGAACGTGGGATGAGTTTTTTGCTGAAAGCTTTCGACAGTTTGGCGTTTTGTCCAAAGGAAGTCATGAGGATCGCTATTCGTATGAGAATCAAACGAAAGATTTGTCAACTGAGGGAGGTAATTTCGCTTCTTTTCGACCTATAGAGGAGGACGAAGACCAGGAACCTGACCCAAAGCTACGTTTGTATTATGACATGATCATTGCTCCTATTGCTGACTTCCTTGAAGAGCCCAACGTCATCATCGTTCCAGATCGTCAGTTGTATCGGGTGCCATTTGCAGCTTTACAGGCAAAGAATGGGAAATTTTTATCCGAGATGTTTAGGATTCGCTTCGTACCATCGTTGACGACTCTTAAACTCATTCAGGAC